CATAGTTGACCACCATTCGAGTCCTGTACTGGCAGCCTAAAACTCATGCCAGTTGCATGTGCATGCATGCCCAAAAAACCTGAGAGGGGAATAGAAAAGGGACTGTAGCATGGCCATCACCCCTGGGAGGGTTATTATTTCTCACTTTCTGTCTCTCTGTCTCTTTCTGTCTCTCTCGCAAACACATACACCCTATAGCCAAAATCTATTTAAAAAAAAAAAAAAAAAAGTTCCCTGGCTTGATAAGAAGGCATAGTCTTTGTAGTGTATGATGTTCAACATTTGTCTCTGATGAGATTGGGGTTGCTAACTTTGTATAGCATGATTAAGGAAGGCCTCTTTGATTAACTGACAGGTTTTAATGGAAAAAAAAAGGTTTCTGTATTATTTCATCGAAAGGTGTAATCTCAGGCCTATTTCTTTGTTCAACATACTCTATATTTTTACCTCAACAGAGCTAATTCAGTTCATTCCTTTCACATGCTATGTTTATAAAATAATATTAATATCATCAACTTTGGTCAAAGGTAGTTATGAATTCAAGCACCTATATCAAAATTTTGATTGGGAAGTGGGCAGACAGTGCCACAGCAGTAATACACAAGAGTCTATTAGGTAATCCCACATGAAAAGGTTTCTGGTGGAAGTCAGAGACCTCCCTGAGTACGCCAGGCATGCATGCGCCTGTGATCTGGATTAGAATGGATTGTGGTGTCAAGAGTCTGTTGGGGAGTGGGGGGGGGTACTGTCTCTCTGTCTCTCACTCATAGAGGAAATAAATAAAGTTTAAAAAAATGTTTACATGGGGCCAGACAGTGGTATAGCAGTAACACAACACTCTGTGGGGCTGACCCACATGGGAGAGTTCTGGGTTTAAATCTAGTGACCTCTCTGAGTTCCGTGGCCATACATGTTTGTGATCAGGAGTTGTCTGAGGCTGGGAGTGTATCAAGGCTTGAGGACCCTGGCAGCAGTGCCTATCTCTCTGTGTGTCTCCTTGTTTTCTGTCTCTAATTTCTGAAAAAAAGTGAGAGGAAGAAAGAAAGAAGGCAGGAAGGAAAAAAGGAAAGAAAGAAGGAAAAAGAATTTCTTGCAGGGTAGTTGCTGTAGTGCAGCGCTAGTGCAGCACGTTGTGGTGTTGGAATCACTTGGGGGAGGGTCCTGGGTTTGTGTGCCAAAGTCCTCCCATACACACCAGGCACATACACTGTGCTGGGGGCAGGTTGCATGTAAGGACCCTGTTTGGGTTGCCTGACTCTTCTTCTTCCCTCTCTTCCTCCCTTTTCTTCCCATCTTTTTTTCTTTTTTTTTTTTTTAGTTTTCCTCTCATTTTCTCTCAGAAGAAATAATTTTTTTAAAAAAGTAGGAAAAAAATTTTAATTACTATTATAATAAATAATACATTCTTAAAAAAAAAAAAGTTTGTGTAAGAACCTGAGATGCAGCTGGGCTTGGCGGCTACTGCACTCCATGGGCAGTGAGGGTTGCTCACTGGGTTTCAACCCCTCAAGGGAATTTCTTGCTAGCCTTGTGGTGAGATTTCTTGACCACCACAACCGAGGAAGGATATGATAGGAGGCCAGAGGTCATACTCCTTTAAAACAAAGCAAATTAATATTTGATGCCCATGCATTGGTTCAAGACTTGGAAATTCATGGATTTGACAAAATACAGGCAGAAACATGTGTGTCAGCATTACCCACTTTATCAAATGTCAGTCTAGACACTACCTGTAAAAAAATGGTCACTCAAATTCAGCAGAAAATAACAGTACAACAATTTGGACTCCATTTAGGATTCATATTTGGACTCTATTAGGAAAGACATGGTCATCCTAGAGAAAAATGAATTTGCAAGTCTGAAAGCAGAGAATGAGAACATGAAAATTGAATTAAACCAAGTTAGGCAACAACTAATAAATGAAACCAGTCAAATCTGATCTGATAATAAACAGGACATCAACCTAGAAAGGAGCAGAGTGATAGATGCGTTTACAGAACAAAAAAAGCAACTTATGGAAGCCACCACAGAATTTATCTAAAAGGATACTCAAAGTATTGTTTCAGAGACCAGTAACAAAATTGACTCTGAAATTGCTTCCTTAAAAACACTGATGGAGTCTAACAAATCTGAGACAATTTCTTATCTTGCCGTCTCAGTGTTTACATGCCTAGCAATAGCACTGGGATTTTATAGAATCTGGAAGAAGCTCTGGTAGTATTCTACAATGCCCCAAATGCTGCTACTGATGCTATTGACTTTTTTTTTTTTTTTTTTTTTTGTAGAGGTGTTTGCTATAGAAAAAGAGAGACAGAGAGATAGAAAGCGAGAAATCACCCCCAGAGGGGATGGCCACACCACAATCCCTTCTCTTCCATTCTCCTCTCGGGATCTTGGGCACACACGCACATGCGCCTGGCATGAATTTAAGCCACCAGGTCCGGGGCTCAAGCCATGGTCGACTACACGGGAGTTCACTGACATAGCCATTACCCTAACTGCTGGTCCCGCTATTGACTTAGAGCACTACACCAGGATAGATTTATTGAGTTGTCAGAAAAGTCATGAAGTATTTTTATATAAAAATGCTTCATGACTTTTTCGATGACCTAATACTTTGAACATTGACAAGTGCAGCAGAAACAAGTTTATTCAAAGTATATGTCCACTAAAAAGAAGTGTTTTAGAATAGAAAGAAGTATTTTGTCTTTATTTGATATTTATGCCTTTATTTTAGTATGTCGAAAAGCTCTTATTAAGAATCCAATTCATTTCAATATTTTTAAAAAGAAAGTTTATTCTCTTATTTCACAGGGCAGGGAAAGTTTTTTTCAGGTACCCTTGACATGGTCTTGCCATGCTGCAGTCCTTCCCCCAGACTCCCAGCCAGCCAGAATGACAGGCAAGAACAGGTGGGCCTGGCATGTTCAGGTCTATCTCATATCTGAATCCAAGGATCCCATATGGTTCCAGTATTGTGCAGTGGCACTCTACTGCCTGCATGATTGTCACTGGACCAGAGCTATATTTTTTCTTTAATAGATTAATCTTAGATCTTTGAAAATATGGCTGTTTCCTCATAAGCCCATGTTTGAAAACTCTGACTTCTGTAGATTATTCTTTAGATTTATTTTCTCATCTCTGTTCACAAGAGCAGATAGAGGACAAAGAAATAGTTATTCTACTTTTTTTTTTCTTGTATGATAAGGATTTTTTGTTCATTTGTTTGTTTGTTTTTTAATGCCAGAGGGCATGTGCATGAATAGGAGAGAGAAAGAAGTTATGTCCCAATGGGACCTAGTCATGCCACAATTCTTTTCCTTTAATTCTCCTTCCCATCAGAACCCTGGGCACATGCATATGCTATCATGTTTTTCAAGCCACAGAGTCAGGACTTAAACCCTGGTTAGCCATGTGGCACCCAGCTTCCTCTCTACTGGGTCTAACCTTTGCACTATGAGGCTGACCCTGAGGCTTTCTTTGCAGTGATATAGAGTAAGGGGTTTGGTATTTTTCTTGGCAGCTTATAATCCTTGTCTTAGTCTCTTCAGTTGCTATAACTAAATACCATATACAAGGCAGTTTATAAACCACAGATGCTTATTTCCCACAGTTCAAGAGGCTGGGAGATTCAAGGTCAAGGCTGATTAAGTGTCTGGTGAGGGCCCATTTCTCAAAGATGGTGCCTTGTTGCTGTGTCCTTTCGTGGTAGAAAAAGCAAATGAGATCTTTTGTCCCTCCCCCATCTCTTTTTATTTCTTTTTAATTTTTTTAACTTTTTCTTAGAACTGTTCATTTAATTTTATTTATTATTATTATTCAATTTGACCAGAGATAGCAAAGAAGAGCGGGAGATAAGAAAGCAAACCACCAGGTCCAGGACTCAAAGGCATGCGCACTTGCCAGAGAAAGTGAGAGGGAGAAAGCATCCCCTCATGGGACAAGGTCATGCTGCAATCCCTTTGCCATATCTCCTTCCTATGAGACCTTGGGAACACATGCACTCGTGCAAAGTGTGTTTTGCAAGCCACTGAGACTGGAATTCAAGCCACAGTTGACTTTTGGGGATCTGCTTCCTTCAACCACTATCCTACAGGGCTGACCCTTGGGCTTCATTTTTGAGGGCACTTATCCCATTCATGAGGGCTTCACCCTCTTGACCTAATCATCTTCCAAAGGCTGTACTTACTAATAGCATCACCTTAGGTTTGGGATTTCAGCATACGAATTTTGGAGAGAAATAAACATTCAGACCATTCCAGCTTCCAATTCCTATCCCTCCACATTGTGAGATACACAGGAAAGCTTTTGTACAATCTTATCTACTTAACTTTCTGTATTACTTCTGCTACTACCAGTACAGTACTACCGGTACTCTATAAGGAACCTGTATGGATTCCTGGCATCTTCTTTCATTTTGGTTAAAATCTTACCATATATAGTTATTATTTTTCCAGGTATATTGTGTAAGATTAGGATACTCAGGTGATTTTGTGTTGATGGTGGTGTTTTATTTGTAATTTTTACAGATCTGTCTGTCTCCTTTGTGTTGGTTTTGGGGAGTGGACTTCTAGTAAGCCTGTTTCTGTGCAGTTTGTTTTCTTAGAAGTTTACTTGTCTTATTTCTTTTTACTTTTTTTTTATTTTTTTTTTTTTTTTTTTTTTTTTAGGGTAACTGTC